GAGACGGAAGTGTGAGCAGGGAGGCGGGGGGTGGGGAAGAAGGAGGAGAGACACAGAATGCGGAAGCAGGCTCAGGCTCTGAGCCCATCAGCCCCAGGAGCCCAGCTGGCAGGCTTTCGAACCCATGAGCTGTGAGATCATGACCTGAAGTCAGGCGCTAATGACTGAGACCACCCGAGCGCCCCTATTTAAAAAAAAATTTTAATGTTATTTATTTTGAGAGAGAAAGAGGCAGGCAGAGGAGAGGGAGACACAGAATCTGAAGCAGGTTCCGAGGGCTTGGCGGACACAGACCCGATGGGGGCTGGCGAATCTTGGATCATGAGCAAGGCCAAAGTCGGACGCTCAACTAACTGTAGACCCAGGCTCTACATGTTGCCACATAAAAATTATTTTTTTATGTTTATTATTTTGACAGAGAGAAAGAGAGAGAGAGGAGAGCCAGAGCAGGTAGGGGAGGGGCAGGAGGGGGAGCGGGAGACATCGTAGAGCAGGCTCCAGGCACCCTGTGTCTGGCTGACAAGCCGGGCTCGCTCCTGGACGCCAAGCTCGACACTATGGACCCAGATCCTAGCTGACGCAGGACTGACTGGAGCACCAGGACTCCCCACATGTTGCCCTTTTAAATCCTACCACCCACTCCCATTCCTAGCCTCACCCTGTGCAATCACAGATCCATTCTCCATTTCTATAGTTTCTCGGGTTTTCACAGAGCATATCATAAAGAAATCATATATAATGCCTCTTTGGGTGACTTTTTGCCACCTTAGCCTGATTCTCTGAGAGAGTCGCCGTGTTGCAATCAGTAGTGTGTTCCTCTGACTCTGTCTCTCTCCCTCTCTCAAAAATAAACATTAAAAATTTTTTTCTTAATTTTTTTAAAATAAATATAAATAAAAGGGCAACATGAGTTATCGCTGCGGCATGGAAATGCTCTGTGCCTCAACTGTCAACGCATCTGAGTTGTGAGTTGTACTATAGTTTTGCAAGAAGTTACTGCCAGGGCACTGGGCAAAGGGTAAACAGGACCTCTCTGTATTAATTCTCACAACTGGGTGTGAATCTATAAATTATCTCAAAATTAAAATTTTTAATATTAGAAAATAGAAAAATATTAGGAAAAACAGTAAAGGCTGCTTTATTTTTGGAGGAGAAAGCACTGGGTCAGCAGGGTGTCCAAATCTTGTCTTCAGTCCCCACAAAAGCCTTGAGATGAATTCAAAGTTCCACCAAATATAAATGATTAATATTCAAAACCTGGGTGTTGACCGTGTCTATAGACATGCAAAGATTATAATTCAACTAAAATAACCTACAAGCATATATTTTTTGCATTCCAAAGTCTAAAAGGCAATGAATAGGAGGATGAATTATGTTACCTAGTGAGTTCCAGTTTAACCTCTTATATCCAGACCTAAACACTCTTATCAACTCCTGGGAATGATCGTCGAGAAGCAGAGCCTCTGCCTCATTTAACTTTCCTACGAGCATGTGATAATGATCCAGCATACGCTGTATTCCGTCTGTGTACCTGTGCGTTACAGGAAAGTCATTGACATGAGGACACACAACAGAGCTCGTAAACAGCTTACCCTTTATCTAGGTTACCAAAGACCTTTCACCAGCCTAAAACTTTGATCGAAAGATTTGCAGAAATTTAAAACAATGCCAACCTTCCCACTAACTTCCTTTTCTGGAAAATATCGGTATACTTCTCATTAGGAAGTGTTTGTTTGTTTTTTTTTTTAACACATAACAGGTTTGTTATTGTTACTTTCAGGTGAATGGATAGATACACAGTTCACACATTGCTTCGTTTTAATTTCCAGCATGGTAAATGCCGGTAGCTATAAAATGCAGACAAATGAAAGCAGGAGGGGGTGGGGTTCTCAATAATTTGTAACGGAATGGAATAGAAAGGGGTCCTGAGATCAAAAAGTTCCCTGTTGATTTAAGAGACAAATCTTTTTACCTAAGAAATTTGTCCTCCTGGAGAGCAACATTTCTTGCTAACTCGGGGACGGGGAATCCTAACTGTTCCAAGTACTTTGCTTCATTAATAATCTCCCTGAGAGCAGGTGAAAAATTTATTACAAACACGGCCCCCTTCTCGGAGTTCGCGGCCTCATCAGCAGCGGCAGAAGTCTGTGGAAGAGACATTTCACAAGCATGGCAAGGACGGTCCAAGAAGCGGTCCAGACGACCCAAGTTCAACGTAAATTTGCAGACGATCAGCGTAGGGCCCTTGATGCCCTGATAGACCGGGAGGCTGGCTGGAGCTAGCTAGAACACATATTTTGTTCAGTAAACAGGGTTTAAAGAATTCGACTTAGCCACCCACGTCCAAAAAGTGGTCAATCGCATGCAAATCAGGAATTCTGGCTTCCCTGGAAAAACCAGGAACGCTGACAAGCAGAGACCGGGATTGAGCAGGAGCTGCCCCTTTTGATGGGACCCAAGCCGTCTCCAGTCTGGCCCTCTGCACTCATTTCAGAACCTACTTCAGGGTTTCAGAGGCCACACACCTAGAGATGCTGTGTGCGGGTCTCTCCTCCCTCACGGCTAGTATTTCTTTACGGAGCGTCTGCTGGGCAGCAGGCTCCGGCTAAAGCACTGTACGTAAGGGTGAATCGTGCAAAATGGTGTTTTTTCCGTAGCTCAACTGTCAGCCATTTCACACCCGGTTCAGCTAATACTTTGTGTGTTGACGTCATCTGATGCAACTCGTTTTACAAATGGGGAAACTGAGGCTCGGTGTGACGCCGCTCGCCCACAGAGTCAGCAGGGCTGCCGGATTCGGGCGCATTTCCTAACCGTGACCTTATGCTGCCTCCGCCTCCTCCCTCTCTGCCCCTGTCCTCTCCTCCCTGGACAACCTTGGCCCTTCTCCGTCTTCCACTTGGAAATACCTATCAACGGCAAACCGTGCCGACAAACCAGACCTCCAGAAAATCGCAGACGCCATCACCTAACCTGACCGCCACGATCTGGACAAGGGTCTGCAAGTACGTACCTTAGTAAGCAGACTCTTCTTCATAAGATTCGGCAGGGCCTGTTCCGTTACCTCTTTCCACAGCTCATACTTTCTGTCTTCATAGTCTTTCATTGTCCAACCCACCTCCAAGTACTTCTGTCTCACCTGTCAAAGAACTCAGCAATCGTCAGTTTGTCCTCAGAAATCTAACACCTTTTCCTCTCTTTCTCTCACTCTATTAAAAAAAAAAAAATGTTGGGGCGCCTGGGTGGCGCAGTCGGTTAAGCGTCCGACTTCAGCCAGGTCACGACCTCGCGGTCCGTGAGTTCGAGCCCCGCGTCGGGCTCTGGGCTGATGGCTCAGAGCCTGGAGCCTGTTTCCGATTCTGTGTCTCCCTCTCTCTCTGCCCCTCCCCTGTTCATGCTCTGTCTCTCTCTGTCCCAAAAATAAACAAACGTTGAAAAAAAAAAAATTAAAAAAAAAAAATGTTAGTGCATTTTGCAAAAATAAGTATACAGATTTCCAAGAATTTTGCAGGGTATGTATGAGAAGGTATGGCTTGAAATCCAGGCCGATGAGCAGAGATCAGCAGACCTCAGCCCAAGAGCTAAGAACGGCTTTTACCTTTTCAAATTTATGTTTAACGTTTATTTGTTTTTGAGAGAGAGAGCATGCACAAGAAGGGGAGGGGGAGAGAGAGACACACACAGAATCCGAAGCAGGCTCCAGGCTCTGAGTTGTCAGCGCAGAGCCCAACGTGGGACTCGAACTCACGAACCGCGAAATCGTGACCTGAGCTGTAGGACGCTTAACCGACTGAGCCACCCAGGAGCCCCTACTCTCTGGACCTTTCAAGAAAAGATTTGTCAACCCCTTCTATATAACATTCAAAACCCCATGGGTGGGGGAGGAACAGTATTATCAGAAAGATGGTCACCCTCCAGAGAAGCTGAAAATCAAGTTCAGGGAGAAGCCCATGTGCCTGTTACCTGGAAGATATCATATGTACAATCATATGTATGAGCCTGAAATCAGGGACCACAGGAAAGGCCTTCTAAGTCGCAGGCCAGGATTTGCTTCTCACACCGGCGGCTCTAGGTCGCCCGTGAGATACGCCCGGCGACAGTTCCGGGGAAGCAACATACCTCTCTTCCTCGGTCACTCTCCAATATCTCCTCCACTTCCTGAAATCGGAGGATGGTGTGCTTGATCCGAAAGAACAGGGACCGTTCCCAGTAGATTGCACCTGCTACCGGAGGGTGGTTCTTACACAGTGGCGGGTTGTCCAGGTTCTGAACAAAGAGTTTATTAACTATGTCGATCTGAAAAGCAATCAAAAGTGGTCTGTGATATGCATCAGCATGTTCGCCAAGAAAGATTTAACTTGAGATGTAGGTCTTTACATTTTTAATGTTTATGTATGGCGGGGGCAGGACAGAGAGAGAGGGGAGAGAGAATCCCAAGCAGCCGTCAGCACAGAGCCCGATGCGGGGCTCGAACTCATGAACTGTGCGATCATGACCTGAGCCGAAACCGAGAGTCGGATGCCCAATTGACTGAGCCACCCAGGCGCCTCAAAGTTTACCATGTTTAAATGCATTTCAGTGGCATTAAGCACATTCACACTGTCACACAACCACCACCTGCATCCACCTCCCATGAAACACTAACTCCCCCTCCTCCTCCCCTGGTCGCTGGTGCTCTCTACTTCCTGCCTCCGGGAATCTGACTCCTCTAAACACCTCATGTAAGTGGAATCATACAGTAATTGGGGTTTTTTTGACTGGCTTATCTCACTTAACATAATGTCTTCAGATTCATCCATGTTGGAGCATGTGTCACAATGTCTTTTCTTGGGGCGCCCGGGGGGCTCTGTCGGTTGGGCGTCGGACTTCAGCTCAGGTCCTGATCTCACAGTTCGTGGGTTCGGGCCCCAGGTTGGGCTCTGTGCTGACAGCTCAGAGCCTGGAGCCTGTTTCAGATTCTGTGTCTCCCTCTCTCTGACCCTCCCCTGCTCATGCTCATGCTCTGTCTCTCTCAAAAAGAAACATTAAGGGGCACCTGGGTGGCTCAGTCGGTTAAGCGTCCGACTTCAGCTCAGGTCATGATTTCACAGTTAGTGGGTTCGAGCCCCACGTCAGACTCTGTGCTGACAGCTCGGAGCCCGGAGCCTGCTTTGGATTCTGTGTCTCCCCGTCTCTCTGCCCCTCCCATGCTCATGCTCTGTCTCTCGATAATAAGTAAACATTACAAAAAATAACAAAAAATAAACATTAAAAAATTTTTTAATACATAAATAAAAATTTTAAAAAGAAAAAGAATATCCTTCCTTTCTAAGGCTGGGAATATTCCATTGTATGGACAGACCACATTTTATGTATCCATTCATCTATCACAGTTCATGAGTTCAGGCCCTGTGTCGGGGTGTGCCCTGACAACATGGGGCCTGGTCGGATTCTCTCTCTCCCTTCCCTCTTCCCTCCCCCGCTTGCTCTCTCTCTCTCCCTCAAAATAAATAAACATTTTAAAAAAGCATACTTTTCACTTTTTTAGGGTATACACCCAGAAGTGAACTTGGTGGACCACATGGTCTGGACCTGTATTTTATTATTTTTTAAGTTAATTTTTGAGAGAAAGAGAGAGAGAGGAGAGAAACAGAGCACGAACCGGGGAGGGGCAGAGAGAGAGAAGGAGAGAGAGGGAGAGAGACACAGAATCCGAAGGAGGCTCCTGGCTCTGAGCTGTCAGCACAGAGCCTGATGCTGGGCTTGAACTCACGAGCTTCGAGATCATGAGCTGAGCTGAAGTCAGACACTTAAACGACTGAGCCCCCCAGGTGCCCCTGGACCTGCATTTTAAAAGAAGCATCTCCACACTCTCATGTGGGTAATTAGATGTGGGAGACAGAATAACATCCCCCCCCCCCATCCCCCAGGCATCCCCTGGTCCCGATGCCCAGAATCTGTAAATTTACTACATTACATGACAAAGGGGAATTGAGGTTGACAATCAGCTGACCTTATAATAGGACGATGACCCCGGATTATCTGAGTGGGCCCAAGGTAATCACAAGGGCCCTTACAAAAGGAAGAAGGAGGCAGAAGAGAGGGTCAGAGTCTTTCCCCAGGCGGAAGTGGGACTAGCCATCGCTGGCTTTGGAGATGGAAGGGGGCCATGAATCCCTAAAAGCTGGGGGGAAAAAAAACCAGGAGATCGAATCTCCCTAGAGACTCCAGAAAGGCTACAGCCCTGTTGACTCCTTGTTTTCAACCCAACGCAACCACTGTAGACTTCTGACCTTCAAAGCTTCACGTAAAATAACAAACCTTTACTACAAAGTAAAGGTTTTTACTACAAAGTTCGTAGTCTCTTGGTACCGCATCAAGAGGAAACCACATATTTGGAGACCAGTTTGTCCCTTTGTATTTTGCTAACTGACGTTGACCAAATTATTTCACATATTCTCATTTCATCCTCTGAATAAGATGATAAGTTGGGTTTTTTTGTTTTTGTTTTTTTTGTCTCTTTCTCCCACTCAGTACTTGAAGGAAAAATCTGTGTTTCATTTATCTATCTCTGTGCCTAACACCATACCTGGAAATATGTGAGCACCGGATACATTATTCTGAATTAATATGCAGATACATACATGATCTCGGCACACGATTAGCTAGGACTTCTGCTGTTATTACTGTGATTATTACAACTACAAACTCGTACAGAGCCCATCACAATGTAAGGTATATATCATACTTGATAAATTCTTACTGAATTTCCTCACTAAACAAACCCACTTTGTTTTGGTTATCTGTGGCATGTGACATGCTCACTGGGGAAAATTCCACAGTCTCTCTGAATTTGAATAGGAGAGACAGATAATGGCCCCATTCAGTTCTCCACATTTTGCCCAGTGTCCTTCCACTGCTCTGGCACCTGTCGATCTTTCAATTACCTCTTTACAATACTGTGCCAGGATATCATTAAATTTCATCATCATTTGCCGATTAATAGCGTCCCGTGAACGAATATGCTTAAATTTTAGAAGCATGTCAAACGCTGCTTCAGCTGATCGAAGTGTCTTAAAAGATTCATCAATAAAATTTTTTGCTTCTTTTTCAATAACCTGCCAAAAAAAAAAAAA